CACTTGTCTCTTTGACGAGTTCGTATCTTGGTGCGGAGAATGGCAAGTCTCACTGATGATGCCGACTACGTTGCCGGCGAAACGTTTGAGAATGTATCAAGTCCACTGTCAGATGCTAGAAATCATTACAACTACTATAGCAGACGACTTCGGACTAGGTGCGTTCTACATAGTCGCCCTGGCAACAAGACCAAGTTGCGACAACGAGGAGACTAGGTGCGTTCTACTAAGTCGCCCTGACAACAAGACCAAGATGACAACTACTATGGCAGACGACTTCGGACTAGGTGCGTTCTACATAGTCTCCCTGACCACAAGACCAAGTAGCGACAACGAGGTCAACCCACTTCTATAAATCGTAAGGAGACTGCGACCATACCAGAGGCCACAACATGTTGATCTTCATATCTTCTGAAATTTTAACCTTATCCTGTTGCATGGAGGAGCGGATTTGTGTTCACTCGTTCGTCATTAGTCCTTCGTCGTTCGTTTGAGGACTGTAAACTTGAGCTTTCTTGTAATAAAAACGATATCAAGCTAAGAAAAATCCCTCGTCTTCTTATTTTGCGCTCGACCTATTAACCTCTTAATCACACGATTTAATTCGAACCGAAAGTCTAATCAATATTTATTGTTGCGAGAACCCTTAACTCTTCCACACTTGATCATGGATACCCACGTGCAAGCGTTTACTGCATATTTGCTTTCAATTACCATTTAGCAATCTATTTACAGTATATTTCTTAATTAGCTTGTTAACTTATTTCTGTGCCTTTTATTCCTTTCTACTAGCTTTTGCGAGAATTGACCGCCTATAGTCCCGAATGCCCCGTCCTTTGGGGCCCAGGACCTGTAATGGTCGACGAATCTGGACCTCTACCTTCCCTAATACAATCTGTCCATTCGGTCCAATCTCCACCACCACCCAATTCACGACCGCTTGACTTTACTCGGGCTGTATTGTCACATGATATCGGTGGTGACATTGGCCGCCTCAACGACTCAACTCTTGAGCCTTCAATAGCTCCCCCGCCTCCACCTCGACCATACATGATATCTTCACCATTGGCTCATCAGTTGGCTGCTAAAGCCGAAGAGGATCCAGCAAGCAGTCTGGAGGCGATTACTAAGGATCAACTTGCAGCTCAATGCCTCGTAGAGCTTCAACATCTGACCAGCCCCAAACGCCAGGCGACAGAGTATTTTATTATTTCGAAACCTAATTGAACCGAATATAATTTATTATTATTCGATGTATTCACCCTATTTTGTTAAGTTGATGAATAACTGGCGTGGTCTTCAATATGTTTAGATGATACGCTGCACTATTATGGTTCGAGTCCCGCTAGGGGTGCTGAGGAAACCTAGGTGAGATAGAAACTACAGTCTACCCTAAATAAGAATACGTTAATGGAATCAGGGATATGTGAAGTACAATAAAAACGTAAGGCCTATTCACATCCTTGTGGGAAAATTAAATTATCTGTTTTTATCACATCTCATGTATGTGATCTACATGTAGTCTCGAAAACCTTCTCATTAAGGAAAAAAATTATTATTGCAACATTCATTGTTGTGTGTACTCGCCTTATCTTCTTTTACCCTCAATCTATCCTTTTATTTTGGCTATATTATTTCTGAATTCTTCGACTGTAGTCTTGAAGAAATTTACGAAACTTTTCGCCTTGTTTTCCATGTCAAAACAAACTAATGGTTACGGTATATGTAAGCGCATTTATGCTGCGCTAATCTTTTCTTTATATTCACTCATATCTATTCAATTATTCATCATTTATCCATTAAACGTTATTATATAATATAGTCAAAAATATATATTTATTCATATTTTATCATACGTCTAAATGAAAACATCTGCATGCTCTCAGAATTAAATTTCCTAATTCTTTATTTGCACACATTTTCTGTAGACGCTTAGATCTGCGCCTAGCCCATATGAATCAGCAGCCTGAGTCATTAGGTCAGCTGGCGGCCAGCCCAGTAGCTGGGTTCGCTCTCTGTCGTCAACTGACTAATCAGCTAGGATACTTAGCCTGGGAGCAGCGACCATCACTAGAGCTGGTGCGTCGGTCAGCTGGGCTTGTTCGAGAGCTAAAGCATCTGGACAAATTGGGAGCGTATGTAAACGAATTGTAACTTATTGAAATGCCTTTGCTGCTGTTATATGTTAAATCTCTTTTATTATACTTTATTCTACAAATGCATAATATACCAATACAAAATAGCTTATACGATGATTCTGTTCATATTATCCTTATCGCGTCTTTATATTAGTTCGATCGTGTTATCGTACACCTTGTCAGGGATCCTCTGTCATAGTAGTCGTGATAGTTTGCAGAGTGGGATCGTGGATTTAGTGCACTCTCTGAAATTTCGCCGAGTGCCATTGGCTAAATTTTTGTAAAACGATTGTTGTATCTCTTATCTTTATACCCTCGTACATCTATCTACCCTCTATCCTCGTATCTAATTCTCAATCATAACTAAATTTTCCTGCTGGCCTACTCCAGATGGGTCCTTTTGAGCGGGTCTAGACAAGCGTTCTCATATCTTTCGCTGCTTCTCTCTCCCTCCTTGTGGGCTGTAAATGCTGATCAGACTTGGCCCATCCGAATCTCCCCTAAGTTCTTAAATATATGTATACTCGCTTACTAATCTGCCTATTTCACTCTGTTATAAACACTATATAAGTTTTAATTAAAGAGTTGTATATCATTATTTGCAACAATAGTTTGATAGCAGGTATACTGTGGCCTCTAAAAGCAAGGCTCTAGGACTGATTACCAAGCTCGTATATATCAACATAAGTGCTATAGGCCAACTTAACATTGCTTCTTCTTATTTGATTTAGTAATGTGTATTGGGTAAATCTTATAGTCTAGCGTTGTCTTTACGGGCCATCTCTGCTATTAAACTAATTTACTCTAGGCTAACTGATAAATTATGTATTTGGTCTCAGCTTCATCTCGAGTGGATTTGTAATTCAAATCACCTCGATTCTTTCTCCATGATTTAAATTCCCATTATGGTTTTGATTATCCTTATTCCTATTCTATTATGAGCTAAACTCCAAATTCTGTAGTTGTTTCCTCGGGTTGACTATATCCACTGCAATCGTCTTCTGATTTCTGTTTGTTTCGCACATGCTTTTTTCTCGCGATCGCATTTCTTCTGGTCTAAGATAGACTTTTGATTTGGGCATCTTATTTTTCGCTGATCTTGCTGTCTACTCTCTCACTCCGTGTTTGTTTAAACAGTAAGCAAATTTTTCGCTAATTGTGCCTTCCACTTTTCTGTTCATTTGATTTCCCTCAGTCAGGATATCAATGTCCTCTCCAATCTTAAGTATCCCTTCGTTTCACCACATGCGGGCAGTCTTTCCGTCACATTCAAACCAATTATGCTTCCCGTCTGTGCAATGTTTTCCGCTATCTATGTTTCTTCCGAGTTTAATGTTACTTTATTTGTAGGCTGATTTTCTTCTTATTTCACCAATATACTTCTGCTCACAATTGTTTATTGCTTTGCGATAGACTCTCGAGTTTATCCACCCTCTCATTTTGCGTCGGAAAGTTTATGAAGTATTGTCTGCTCCTTAGTGATCACCTGGATATAAAATTTTTTTAGTGACGATCGAAATTTTTGCCTCGGTCCACAGAAGGACAGGCATATCCACTTTTAGCCGTCTTTCTCATTGCTGATTTTATTTTCATAATATCCATGTTGCTATCTGCTCTATGTATGATTTTTCGAGGTAACCGTTGCTAAAGCTAATTCGAATCAGTTTATTCGATTCTTTTTCCACAAACTCCATGTCCGTTAATCTCAAGTTTCTGATGATCAAGCTCCTCAGTATTTCTGTCTGTAGTTGCGATTAGAATGGAAATTAAAGATAATCTGAATCATCTGAGTGTCTCGTTGAACCAAATGACCTCACCATCTAGGACATGTAGTCGCTCATCCTCCTCCGCTTCCACTGAATTTAATGCTTTATTGTTTTTTTAGTCGGGAAACACACAAGATCGCCGTTATCTATGTGGCTACAGGACAGGAAGACAAACAAACCATCCTCTCTAATCAATCTGCTAGTCTAGAGTTTGAAAACTTTGTTGCAGGCCTTGGCTGGGAAGTTGATTTGGCTACGCACACTGGCTTCTTAGGCGGTTTAGAGCGCAGTGGACGTACTGGACGTACTGCACCATATTATGCCACTTCCACACTGGAGGTTATTTTCCACGTCTCTACCAGGATGCCATCTGACACTGAAGAGGACTTAAAGGTGACCACCTACTTTGCTATACCCTTATTTTTGCATTTTTAGCAGAATATTGGAACTTATTACTTTTTTTTAGCTGCGATTCGATTTTTTGGTTGTGTCCATTTCTGATTATTTAAAGAGTTCATTAACGAATTATATCGTAGATATAAAGACCAAGATAATGTCTCCCTTAGCTACACAGTGTTGTTTTTCTCAACTTGACCATGGCATCAGGAAGACCTTGTTGAACGTACCTAGTCATGTGTTCTC